GCTGTTGACCCAAATGCCTAGCAGGCCAAAAATCTGAGTACACACCCCCTTTTTTATTTCTCTCGCTCTTCTTCTCTTTCTCTTCTGCTGCTGCTCTTGCACATCAATTTGGCATTGTTGGCACCTTTTGTTTTTGCACGCTTCGATTGCAGCTTCGTCGGTCACTGAGAGGAACAGAAAAACAAAAAAAAATAGCCAAAACAAAAACGTTAAATGAATTGCCCCAAATACGTGTGCAGCTGTTGTTGTTGTTGTTGTTGTTGACGTTTCTGTTGCTGCAGCATCATCAAACGTCATTATCAGCATTAACATGATCATCAGCAGCTCTTAAATACATTATGAATATCATGCTAATGCGCTGATCACTCGCCTGGAAACGATAGCTCAGGCAGCGCTGTCCACTTAGCTGGCTGCGCTGCCGACGCCGACTGCGCTGCCAATTGTTGTTATGCTTCTTCTGCTAGAAGTGGAGCAAGCGGCGAGTGTGTAAATGTGCTGGAGCGTGAGAGCGCACGTTGTCGGAGAGCGCGTCGGACAAAGCAGCGTGCGAGAGCAAGTCACGGTCACGTTTCTCGTCACGTTCTGTTGTGCTTTTGCGCTTCTGCTTCTGCTGCTGCTGTTCTTCATCTTGTTGTTGTTGTTGGTAATTTGTTCTTTTGCTTTGCTGTTTCGTGTACCGAGCTGATCTTTGGGCACATTTCGCATGCGCCAGAGCAGACAAATGTGTTTACGGTGCTCAGGCGCTAAGCTGCTGCTGCTGCCGCTGCTGCTGCTGTTGACCCCGGCCACATGCAAATGAGTTCAGCTTGGGCCAGCGACTTTGGCTTGGACATGCGCTATCCCAATTGCCGTTATTGCAAGCAAAACAAAAAACAAAAAAAAAAAACTAAAAGTTGCGGTAAAGTGGAAAAGCAGGAGAAGAAGTGAGAAGGCGGGGTAACAACAGCTGTCAAGTTGGCAGCTGCTGCCATTGCACTTTACAGGTTACATGCGTGTATGTGTGTGTGCATGTGTTGCTGTCACATGTTGCCAACGAGCAGCAACTAGCAACTTGTTGCGGGCACTATCGAAACTTCCGTTTTGTACAACATTTTGGCATTTGGTGTTTTTTTTTTTGTTTTTGCTGCCAGTGAAAACGACAGTTTAGCTTTTTTTGTGGCTATTTGTGTTCGTGTTTGCGGCTGTTGTTTAACGCACAATTTAGTGAAAATCTGCAACGAATTGCGCAAAAATTTGATGAGCCTCGCGCGCAAAATGTAAGCAAATTGCATTTGTTGCCGTGTTGCCGTGCGGCCGTGTTTCCGACTGGCTTTTTGGCCCGCCTGCAGCTGCGGCTGACTACTTATTGGCTCTAAATGCTCGGCAACAACATTTGCTGCCACTTTCTAATGCGACAGCAGCAGCAGCAGCAACAACAACAGCTATGCGGAAGCAACAGTCAACAGTTGACGCACCCCCAAGCGCCCCAAGCCAAGACCTCAGAGCTGAGCTGGCGCCCTCTGGCGGCCTCTTTTGCGCTCAATGCGCTGACCCGCAACATGTTGCCAACAAAATCTTTATCCTAAGAGCACAACACACACATAGACAGGCACGCCTCGGCCCTCCCCCAATCCGTGACAAGCATCTGTCGGGCATTTCTAGCATTTCTGGCACATTTCTTGCTGCACATTTTTGCCATTTGTCGCCGCTGGGGGAAGCATTTAGACGGCAAATTGCATTTAATCAGCACAAAATGCAGCTGGAATTTTTCTGCTCAAAGAATCGTGAAATCAGCTGCAGAAAGATCTCGACTGCTGCAGTTGTGGCTAATTGACTTGTCATTTGGCCAACAAACACATGGCCGAGCAGTGTTGTAAAGCAGCGCAAGGAATGTGTTAAGGGTCAGTTGCCTCGTGCTCTCGTCAAAGTTGACATGCACTTAACAGCTGTTCTGCTTGCCTTCTACACATTTCTTGGCATTGCTGTATAACAGTTTAAGTTAGGTTAAATTACACCATGTTGCTGTCAAATTAACAAGCACTTTGCAGCTTTCATTACTTCATGTTATTGTCAAAGATGACAAACATGCTGTTAATGCTTATTTCAGGCCTGCATTAGCTTAACTGCCTGTCAAAATCTAACAGGCAGCCTAACTTGCTGTTAAATGGGCAGTATTGCCAGTTTCACTCATGATTTCGCTGTGTACACTGTATCATTGCGAAAGTCATCTACTTGTCAAATACTTTAACTAGTAGTTACAAATTGCACAAAGACTCGAAATTGTGCCTGTTGCAATTTATAATCAATTAAACTGTGCTACCTAGTAAACAGCTGTTGGATCTGTCTGGCTCTAGATAATACCCTTAGTTGACAATGAAGCTTACTTAATTTGACAGTCAATTCGAAATGCTCAATTAAAACAGATGTTCCATCTGCCTGGTTCTGTGTAATGCGTGTGTTTCTGAAGGTATTTCAAGGCTTTCAAGTTGACTTTCCTTTTTTTAAGTGTTCTTTCTTATTTAAATGTTGCAGGTTTTTGTTGATATTAAAGCTCTTTGAAGCTTTAATTTATCTAAATATTGTTCTGATATTGCATTCAAACACACCCAAAGCTAAAATCTAGAAGATTTTGTACTGTTTTTATTAAGCTCGTGTTCAGTTAAGCTCGTTTTTTTCTTTCTTCAAAATTCAAAGACGGACACAGAGCTTTAATATAAGTTGGTGAGCTTTAAGTAAGCTTTTGCGCTTATCTCAATCGTTTTCTCTCCTTATCTGTCTCTTTATCGAATATTTATTTCTAACTATTTCGGTTTCTATTTTCCATATCCATAGTTTGATAATTTCTTTAATTTAATACTGAACTCATATCTTTCGATCCAGCTTTATCTTGATTGTGGATCTTCTCTCTGTCTTTCTCTTTATCCATCTCTGTCTGTACTTGCATTTGTATTTTAATTTTGCCTCTCTTTGTGTACTTTTTTTTATCCATATTTCTTAATCTATATCTTTCTCTATTTCTATCTAAGTATATCTGAAGTTGTTTGTCTCTAAGTTTCAATATTTATTTGTTCCCCTTTCTGTGTAATTATGTATATATCTAGCTCTATCACTAACTTTGTTCTTATCCTTTTTCTCTGTCTCCATGTGTCGAAATCTATCCTTTTCTCTATCTCAATCGCTATATCATGTATATCTATCTCTTTCTCTATCTCTATCTAATTCTCTACCTTCAGCTTCTTCTCTGTGCTTCTCTTTATCTGCATATGTACTTTATCTCTTTTTCTCTCTGTCTTTGTTTCTTTTAGTTTATCGATATCTATCTATCTATCTATCTATCTTTCTATCTATCTATCTATCTATCTATCTTTCTATCTAAAGATAGTTATGTTTATTTCTATATCTGTCAACTTAAGATCTCTCTCTCTCCCTCTTAATCCATTTCCCTTTATCTACCATCGATTGATTCTTCTCTTTCACCACTTTCTCTCCCTCTCCCTTCCCTCTCTCTCTCTCTCTCTCTCTCTCTCTCCCGCTACTCATTCTCTTTCTCTCTCTAACCTGTTGTCGGCCAGTTTTGTAAGGTTTCTCTAGCTGAACTCCTTAATGAAATGGAAATAATTGAATTTTACCGCCTTGCTTTTCACCTCCAGCTCTGTCCCCCCCCCCCCCCCCCCCCCTCCTCTCACCCACCCACGCACACACAGACATATTGAATTACATAGCCCGTTCAACCGCATCCGTTAAAAACTTCCCATTTTCAATTTCGTTTTCGTTTTCGTTTACAATTTTTCATTTCCATTTGCATTTTTTCTCATTTATTTCAATGCATATGCGATGTCATAACTTTGAGGTCGCCTTTGTCACGCCCATCATCCATAATATGTGACAGCAACAACAACAACAACAACAACAACAACAACAACAACAACAACAACAACAACAACAACAACAACAACAACAACAACAACAACAACAACAACAACAACAACAACAACAACAACAACAACAACTTGTTGTTCATTATCTTTGTTATTGTTGCTGTTGATTTTTACTTTCAAACACTTTTACTCTCGATTGTTTTTTGTTGTCGTGTATGTTTAGCATTTTTACGAGCTGTTTTGCCACCGCCGATCCCCTTCCCCCGATCCCCTTCCCCCTTTGGACCCCCACCCATGCCCCTATGTCATGTGTGCTTTAAGCCTTTTGTTTTGGACGGAATTCAATTTGCGTTCAAATGTCACGCAACTTTTGCGATCGCACGCATCAAAAGCCGCTTTGCGAGCTTCACGTTACGCTCGCCCCTCTCCCTCTCTTCCAGCCCACCTGCCCCCGCATTGTGAACTTCTTTGCCTGCATTTGATTGGGTGTCGCTTTGTCTGCGGCTTTTTATTGTCACTTTGTTGGCCATCATCCGCTTTGTTCAATTGCGCAAGCCGCTTCGATAAACCCTCCCCCCCCCCACCTCGTTTCACTTCTCCTCAACCTCCCCTCCCTGTGTGAAGCATCCAGATCTGCAGCTGCAACATCTCCAGTTCAGCACGTAATTGTCAGAGGCTGCAGTTGGCTTGAAAAGACTAATTACAGTGTTGCCTGCCTAAGTGGAACGAACTTTTTTGCCGTATGCAAAGTATTCTTTTCATTGATTTGATGAACTTACGAACTTAACTGACTAATTTAAGGTGTTATTATTTTTCTTGAAAAGTGTTAAATTGTAATCAAAAGTTGTTGCTCCTTGGCAGTCTCTACTGTAGCTAATGCAGAATGCGTGAACTGACAAATGCACGCTGAATATTGCCTTCCCATTTACGCTTCGCTAATGATTGTAGGGTATATTTGAGTTCGTCAACTAAAGATGGTTGCTCTTAGGCAGTCTCTACTGTAGCTGGCCAGCTGGCTGTCGCATCGTTTTGTCGTCATATTCGATTACATTCGATTGGTAATCGGATCACTTCCTGCTTGCCACACACACACACTTGAAACAGATCGAATTGCCTAACCCCTTCTCGCTCTCTGTCTTACAGAAAATGGATCCATTGATGCGCATCCAGGAGGAGATCAAGGAGGTGGTGCGTCGCGAGGAGGAGTACCGTCAGCTGGCTACGGTTGCCGCCCTAACAGCCACGCCTCCAATCAAAGTGGAGCCCGCCTACGAGGCGAACTATGCTAAGCTTAATGGCAATGCCGGCGAACTGGAGACGGAACAGGATCAGGATCAGGATCAGGATCAGGATCGGGATGAGGTCGACCAGGGCGTTCTGGTCACCGCACAGCCGGCGGCAGTCACCGCGCTGCTGGTGCCCAGCGATGAGCAGTCGCCTTCGCTGGCCTCCAGCGTGAACAGCAACAGCCACAAGGAGGAGAGCCTGGACGAGCAGCACTCGGATGACTCCGGCATATCTGCCTCCTCGCTAAAGACCAACAACAACAACAACAACAGCAACAGCAACAAGGCTGGTCTAAAGCTGAGCCTGGTGGCCAGACAGGAGTCGCGCTACATTGGACCCAATTGCTACAATTTGACGCCGGAGCCGCCGCAGCAGAAGCTGATGACGCGCAGCCCCGCCCCGACCCAGGCCCAGCAGCTGCAGCAGCAGAAGCGCCAGTTCGCCTTCCATGGCGCCACCAAGGGTGTCATGCAGCGCTTCATTGCCTCCCACGGCAAGCTGCAGCTGGGCAGCGTTGGGACCGGCAACGTTGTCCAGCTGTCGCCATTGACGCCCAATGGTAACAGCCCGGGCCTCAAGCTGAATACGCGCAATGCGCTCGCCTTTCTCGAGTCCGGCAGCAGCTCGCCGCTGGCCCTGAACAACAATCACAACAACAACAACAATAACAACAACAACAACAGCACCCTCTCGCAGGGCGCCATCGAGCGGGACTCGGAGGGCAGGCCTCTGAGACGTGGCTATGTGCCCGTCGAGCAGAAGATTCAGCGCGAGCTGCAGGACCTGAAATCACGCGAGTCGGAGCTGAAGCGTTTGCGCAAACTCAACCGACAGCATATGCTGGAAAAGCTGTAAGTGCGTGTCAATCTTAACTGGGACATCCTTGGTTTAACTCTTGCCCATTGCAGCCAACTGAGCACCGACGACGAGGCCGATGCGGATGACGATGACGACGACTCCGAGGTGGAGCACTGCTACGGACCAGGCAAATTGCGCAATGCACAATCTACACTGGAGCTGGAGAGAGAGAGGTGAGGAGCATTACTTTGTAATGGAAGTATCCAAACGGATAGCTAGATATGTTGAGGAGCTGGCAAGTAGCATGGATTGCTTGAAGAGAAATAGTTCAAGCTGTAGGTCTGTAGGTTGGGAATACCACTTCCCTTCCCTTCCTATATTAGCGACAATAGTGCTAGAGAGGGAGAGGTGGGAAGTACTATGTAAAGGAAAGAAGGTTAGATAGACATGCATTGGGAAAACGTTTGGAACTCCATGCAAATGAAACATTATGCTTCAAGCTACCCAAGGAGATATCTTCCGGTTTCTTCCCTTTCTTCGATTTCTATAAAGTGGGAAGAAAGGAAGGGTAGAAAGAAGGTATATAGACTTGCTTGCAAGTTAGCTGTCAGCACTAAAATGTGAATCTCTATTCAAATTAAACATTATGTCTCATAGTATCCAAGAAGATTCCTTCCGATTGTTTTCCTTCCTTTCATTCCTACGAATTTATTAACTGAAGAGGAAGATGCAAGTTGGAAAGAAAGGGGCGATAGATAAATATGCTAAATGAAAAGAGTCCAGTTTTAGGTCTGGATCGTAATTCCATTGGAGTTTTACCTTTTACCTAGAAGACCCTACCGAGTTTCCTTACCTAGGAATTCCCAAAGAATGTGAATAAAGTACTATGTGAGGGAAATGGAAAGAAAGGGAAGAAATGCTTTATCGATAACTTCCATAGATCCATAATATCATTTAGTTTTGATTACGAGATATATCTCTTTAGGATTTGTTAGTTAGGCATTTGTGAAGCTCTTCAAGGAATCCGACTTGTTTGGGAGGGTGCGCAACCGGGTGTGCTTTCTAGTTGTACTTACACGCATTTCCACTTCTCTCACGACAGCAACGACCTGGAGCTGATGGGCCACAAGTCTTTGGGTAATCGCAGCCTGAACGCCGCCGCTGTCCTTTCGAATGGGGGCAATAATGCCCTGACCACAACTGGCTCCAGCTCGTTTGGCATGCGGCCGGCCATGTCCCTGGCCGAGCTCTGTGACCTGACGCCGGAGGAGGCGCCCTCCTCGCATCGGCTCATCGCGCAGTGGGAGAGCCTGATCAAGAAGAATGCGGAGGGCATTGAGGCGGCCATCTAGAGAGCTCGCGGCGACCAAAGCACACCAAATTATTATTGTAATGTCCCAAGCACTAAACAAAATCCAACCCCCGCCCCCATTCCTACAACCCTAAAGGTCCTTTAACAAACAAGAATAATTTTTTTTTTTTTTTTTTGTAAACCCAAGTTGGGCTGATATATAACGTATATAGCATTGGGTCGAACGGGATCCATGCGTATACGATCAACGAATTAGTATTTTTAAAAGGCATGTACTTAAAACAATTGTGTTTCTGTAATTTATGCAAACGTGTATGTAAAAATTCTTGAGATCTGTTGTAAATAATTCTTCGTGTTTCAAGTGCAAGTTTCGGCCCCGACTGTTCTATATAATTTATTGAATATAACCTTACCTACATATATACGCGTTCATATATGTATACAATAATACCATACAAACATACGTATTTATGATATGCGATAACAATTTTGCGAAAAACGATTTAATAAAACATTCATGTAAATCGATCTGATTCATTTAATATTTATACATCTTATGCGACGCATCTTTGCGGTCGTCCATCGAATATCCTTTTCAGAGAGGATATCCCCAGCTCGGGCATCGCCTCACAGGCTATCAAAGAAGACAATGTGTCACAAAAGCTTGTTTGTTTTTTTTTTAACTTATATATGTTTATTGTATTGAATCAAAAAATAGCATACATTTTTATTACAAAACCGTTAACTTAGGTGGTATCCCGCCAATCCTGGTTGGCTTCTCAGGCTTTATCGTGGACAAACGTCAAAGCCGTCTTCTTTGAGTAAGGCTGCACCGTCACGTAGGTGGTCGGTGGGCTCTGGGGCTGCTCCTGTGTCGTGGTTGGAGGAGGTCTCTAAAGGATCTTTTCTGGAGCCTTCTGACTACACACCTCTCAGCGAGGTCTCTTGTATGGGTTGGCAAGTGCTTCGACTCTGAGATTACTTGGCCGAGATAGTCTAAAAAAATCAACAAAAAAAGTTGATTGTACCAACGAAACGTTTTTTGGTCAACAACTTTTTCCAACCCATCAATTTTTAATTTCTTTGAATGCCATATGATAGTAGGGATCCGTACGAATTCAAAAAGGTATAATATTTTAATATCAGATTACATTTATATTCAAAAAAGTTTTGATATTCGAACCTACCCTGGGTAATAGCTCTCGCGTAATGGCTCCGCGAGGAGATATGACGTTCCAAAACGACATAACTTCTTTCATGATTTTTTCAAATATCTCGGCTAACTTTTGCCTGATTTTTATATTTTATACCTGTTTGTATTTGTACGGATCCCTTTTATCAATTGGCATTTAAACAATCTCAAAATCAATGGGTTCAAAAAATTTGTTGACCCAAAAAGGACTCGTTTCTAAATTCGACCTTTTTTCACGTTTTTTCAAATATCTCGACCAAATAGTGTCCGATTTTCAAATTTTATACCATTTTGGACTCGTAAGGATCAGTACTATCGACTGGCATCAAAAAATAGAAAATCTAAATTTTGACCCAAATCGACCAAAATGGCAAGGGGTTACATCACGATTTTTATTAAAATCGGGTTCGGTTCGAAAATCAAACCTTTTTTGATGATTTTTTTGAATATCTCGGCCAAATTGTGTCCGATTTTCAAATTTTATACCATTTTGGACTCGTAAGGATCAGTACTATCGACTGGCATCAAAAAATAGAAAATATAAATTTTGACCCAAATCGACCAAAATGGCAAGGGGTTACATCACGATTTTTATCAAAATCGGGTTCGGTTCGAAAATCAAACCTTTTTTGATGATTTTTTTGAATATCTCGGCCAAATTGTGTCCGATTTTCAAAGTTTATACCATTTTGGACTCGTATGGATCAGTACTATCGACTGGCATCAAAAAATAGAAAATCTAAATTTTGACCCAAATCGACCAAAATGGCAAGGGGTTACATCACGATTTTTATCAAAATCGGGTTCGGTTCGAAAATCAAACCTTTTTTGATGATTTTTTTGAATATCTCGGCCAAATAGTGTCCGATTTTCAAATATTATACCTTTTTGAATTTGTATGCTTTCTGGCGAAATTATGACGTTTGAAAACGACATAACGCCGCCGCTGATCATAGCGAGATTATGTCGTTTTGAAGCGACATAACTCCGTCGCTCTAAAAACGACATATATCCGCGGAAGATATGACGTTTGAAAACGACATAACTCCAATTTTGGCCTCGTAAGGATCAGTACTATCGACTGGCATCAAAAAATATAAAATCTAAATTTTGACCCAAATCGACCAAAATGGCAAGGGGTTACATCACGATTTTTATCAAAATCGGGTTCGGTTCGAAAATCAAACCTTTTTTGATGATTTTTTTGAATATCTCGGCCAAATAGTGTCCGATTTTCAAAGTTTATACCATTTTGGACTCGTAAGGATCAGTACTATCGACTGGCATCAAAAAATAGAAAATCTAAATTTTGACCCAAATCGACCAAAATGGCAAGGGGTTACATCACGATTTTTATCAAAATCGGGTTCGGTTCGAAAATCAAACCTTTTTTGATGATTTTTTTGAATATCTCGGCCAAATAGTGTCCGATTTTCAAAGTTTATACCATTTTGGACTCGTAAGGATCAGTACTATCGACTGGCATCTAAATTTTGACCCAAATCGACCAAAATGGCAAGGGGTTACATCACGATTTTTATCAAAATCGGGTTCGGTTCGAAAATCAAACCTTTTTTGATGATTTTTTTGAATATCTCGGCCAAATAGTGTCCGATTTTCAAAGTTTATACCATTTTGGACTCGTAAGGATCAGTACTATCGACTGGCATCAAAAAATAGAAAATCTAAATTTTGACCCAAATCGACCAAAATGGCAAGGGGTTACATCACGATTTTTATCAAAATCGGGTTCGGTTCGAAAATCAAACCTTTTTTGATGATTTTTTTGAATATCTCGGCCAAATTGTGTCCGATTTTCAAAGTTTATACCATTTTGGACTCGTAAGGATCAGTACTATCGACTGGCATCAAAAAATAGAAAATCTAAATTTTGACCCAAATCGACCAAAATGGCAAGGGGTTACATCACGATTTTTATCAAAATCGGGTTCGGTTCGAAAATCAAACCTTTTTTGATGATTTTTTTGAATATCTCGGCCAAATTGTGTCCGATTTTCAAATATTATACCTTTTTGAATTTGTATGCTTTTTGGCGAAATTATGACGTTTGAAAACGACATAACGCCGCCGCTGATCATGGCGAGATTATGTCGTTTTGAAGCGACATAACTCCGCCGCTCTAAAAACGACATATATCCGCGGAAGATATGACGTTTGAAAACGACATAACTCCAATTTTGGACTCGTAAGGATCAGTACTATCGACTGGCATCAAAAAATAGAAAATCTAAATTTTGACCCAAATCGACCAAAATGGCAAGGGGTTACATCACGATTTTTATCAAAATCGGGTTCGGTTCGAAAATCAAACCTTTTTTGATGATTTTTTTGAATATCTCGGCCAAATAGTGTCCGATTTTCAAAGTTTATACCATTTTGGACTCGTAAGGATCAGTACTATCGACTGGCATCAAAAAATAGAAAATCTAAATTTTGACCCAAATCGACCAAAATGGCAAGGGGTTACATCACGATTTTTATCAAAATCGGGTTCGGTTCGAAAATCAAACCTTTTTTGATAATTTTTTGGAATATCTCGGCCAAATAGTGTCCGATTTTCAAAGTTTATACCATTTTGGACTCGTAAGGATCAGTACTATCGACTGGCATCAAAAAATAGAAAATCTAAATTTTGACCCAAATCGACCAAAATGGCAAGGGGTTACATCACGATTTTTATCAAAATCGGGTTCGGTTCGAAAATCAAACCTTTTTTGATGATTTTTTTGAATATCTCGGCCAAATTGTGTCCGATTTTCAAATATTATACCTTTTTGAATTTGTATGCTTTCTGGCGAAATTATGACGTTTGAAAACGACATAACGCCGCCGCTGGTCATGGCGAGATTATGTCGTTTTGAAGCGACATAACTCCGCCGCTCTAAAAACGACATATATCCGCGGAAGATATGACGTTTGAAAACGACATAACTCCAATTTTGGACTCGTAAGGATCAGTACTATCGACTGGCATCAAAAAATAGAAAATCTAAATTTTGACCCAAATCGACCAAAATGGCAAGGGGTTACATCACGAGTTTTATCAAAATCGGGTTCGGTTCGAAAATCAAACCTTTTTTGATGATTTTTTTGAATATCTCGGCCAAATAGTGTCCGATTTTCAAATTTTATACCATTTTGGACTCGTAAGGATCAGTACTATCGACTGGCATCAAAAAATAGAAAATCTAAATTTTGACCCAAATCAACCAAAATGGCAAGGGGTTACATCACGATTTTTATCAAAATCGGGTTCGGTTCGAAAATCAAACCTTTTTTGATGATTTTTTTGAATATCTCGACCAAATAGTGTCCGATTTTCAAATTTTATACCATTTTGGACTCGTAAGGATCAGTACTATCGACTGGCATAAAAAAATAGAAAATCTAAATTTTGACCCAAATCGACCAAAATGGCAAGGGGTTACATCACGATTTTTATCAAAATCGGGTTCGGTTCGAAAATCAAACCTTTTTTGATGATTTTTTTGAATATCTCGGCCAAATAGTGTCCGATTTTCAAAGTTTATACCATTTTGGACTCGTAAGGATCAGTACTATCGACTGGCATCAAAAAATAGAAAATCTAAATTTTGACCCAAATCAACCAAAATGGCAAGGGGTTACATCACGATTTTTATCAAAATCGGGTTCGGTTCGAAAATCAAACCTTTTTTGATGATTTTTTTGAATATCTCGACCAAATAGTGTCCGATTTTCAAATTTTATACCATTTTGGACTCGTAAGGATCAGTACTATCGACTGGCATCAAAAAATAGAAAATCTAAATTTTGACCCAAATCGACCAAAATGGCAAGGGGTTACATCACGATTTTTATCAAAATCGGGTTCGGTTCGAAAATCAAACCTTTTTTGATGATTTTTTTGAATATCTCGGCCAAATTGTGTCCGATTTTCAAATTGTATACCATTTTGGACTCGTAAGGATCAGTACTATCGACTGGCATCAAAAAATAGAAAATCTAAATTTTGACCCAAATCGACCAAAATGGCAAGGGGTTACATCACGATTTTTATCAAAATCGGGTTCGGTTCGAAAATCAAACCTTTTTTGATGATTTTTTTGAATATCTCGGCCAAATTGTGTCCGATTTTCAAATTTTATACCATTTTGGACTCGTAAGGATCAGTACTATCGACTGGCATCAAAAAATAGAAAATCTAAATTTTGACCCAAATCGACCAAAATGGCAAGGGGTTACATCACGATTTTTATCAAAATCGGGTTCGGTTCGAAAATCAAACCTTTTTTGATGATTTTTTTG